GTCTTGTCAGTCTCGTTGAAGGAGTAACCACCCGTCTTGCAGTGGCACACAGCATCGGTCCCATGCGCAAAGCAGGAAGCTTCGGAGCCACAATCCTTGCCAAAGACAACACACGGGTCTGCGAGAAAGTCATGGGGGGTTCCGATGTGAGTAGGCCAATGGGCTTAGACGAATGAAAATCTTGGTTATGGTTCTGGAAATCACCCACACGTGACACCCACTCGCACACTCACCCCCACTCGAACACTCACCCCCGCACGCACACTCACCCCCACTCGCACAGACAAACACACACACACACAGTCACCCACACACGCACACTCACCCACACACGCACACTCACCCACACTTCAGTGAACTAGGAGGTAGGGAGAAAAATAATGGACGGGAAAAGGCCAGGGAAGAAAAATCAACAATTCTCTTGGGGCACAGATAGCTGATTCTAGCTTAGGAGCTCGTTCCTTCAGACTGCACGAAATCATAGCCCACAGATAAGGATTAACCACATACCACATTCGACTCACTCCCATGCCAAACCTGCGCTCAATTTCTCTCCACCACTCACTGTAGCATGTCTTGTCTGTTTCGTTGAAACTAGTACAATCAAGGCACATGCAAACACGAGGGCTGTTGGCATCACCCTCTAGCGAGCAAACAGCATTGGCCCCGCAATCCATATTGGCACACGGATCTGCAGGAAGGAGGACGTTCCGAAGTACAGAAGAGGAAGGGGTTCGAATCTGAAGGAAAAGGAGGCGGTTTTAAGCGAGGCGGCGAGAGGCAAGAGCATTAGGATAACAGGGTGAACATGAGATGCATGTGAGTGGGAGGCGAGGGAGGAGAAGAATGGAGGGGAGAAGGCGACGAAGGGAGAAACGACCGGATTGAGAAGCAACAGCTGAGAGTGACTCAGAGAGGCACTTGTGCTGAATGCGTGGGAGGAGCATTGGTCACAGATGATATGCAGCCAGCCAGGCGATACCATCGACTCACTGCCTGCACTCACTTGCTCTCCACCACTCACCATAGCACGTCTTGTCTGTTTCGTTGAAGGCCATACTATCTACGGCGCACCAGCAGCCGGGAGTGCCATCACGTTTCACATCGCAGGAAGCACTGGACCCGCAGTTAATGCCGGCACACGGACCTGCAGAGCGAATGGGTGGCCGTTTTGGGACAAAACGCAGCAGGGCAAGTGGGTTGAAAAAAAAAAAAGAGTCCTTCGTTACGACCTTTCACTTGCTCATCAACTTTATAATGTAAGCACACAGTAAACCAGATACTACGTGAGAAAAAGGAGGAGAGGCGCAAATTGATTAGGAGAAAAATGTTGGGAAAGACGAGAGTGGGAACCACGAGCAAGCACCCCTTGGGTTGGGTGCCATGGTGGGTGGCATGCTACGTGTGCCAGTCAGGACTCACCATTTTCAGCGGCGCTGGCGTGAGTCGCAAGGAAGCTGATGGCAACGACAGCCGCGACGACTCGGAGTGCAGTGGCGAGGCCGAGGCGGGACAGGCGCGCGCAGGGCTTCATGGCGACAGGAGGGCGCGACTCGCGGAAACAGGAAGGCGGGGAGGCGCGGATGGTGATGAGAGCGGAATGGCGAGAAGCTTCAGATCAGAGTTGAACCGCCGGGTCTCGACGCTGGTAGTCGCGACGAAGTGGGATTGGGTGGGACCTTGAAGGTGCGACTGAGAAAGGAGGAATCGAAGGCACGCAAGACGAGCGAGGAGCGGTGGGAGAATGTGATTGAGCCCTCGGGAGGGGGGCGTCGATTTATGTGTTGAGAGAGAGCGGTCAATCGCACATTCCGATTTATTATTCCTAGTATTTGATTCGCTGATCCTGTAGAACGTTTCCGCGGAAGGAGGGGGGGGGGGGGGGGAGGGGGGGGGGGGGGGGGGGGGGGAAGGGGGGAGGGGTTGGGGGGGAGGGAGAGGAACTCAGGGGAATCGGCGCTGCGCCGAGGCCCGGAAACGTGCATTTTGGTCGACCTTAGGACTAGGCGATGGTGTCGGGGCAACGAGAAGGAGTCGATCACGGGTATGCCGACTTTCGCCATGGCGGGAGGGGGGGGACGAGAATGGATGGACGAGGGGGCGGCGATGACGGGAGGAAAGCGTTGGGTACTAGGCGCTCAGCGTGCAGCTAGTGAACGCGTTAAAACCCGCGTCTCATATTTCTTGTTTCCAACCAAAGGTAATACGCTTGAAACCGGGTAACCAAACAATCACTCGCAAAACACTCGCGTTTGGTTTGGCGCAGGTGTGATTGGCTGCAAACCAAACAGTTTGGTAGAGGCAGGTGCCTGACTACCAAGCCGGGTTTGCGAGAAACAGGCAACTGCATGTGCGACGGACTGAGAATGGGACGCACAGCCCACAACCGAGCGTATTACAGAGCTGGAAAAATATGAGACTGCAAACCCAGACAGGTTGTAGGTGGAGAAACATACTCGCACCGATTTCTCTAGCGACTAAGTCTCATTTCAGCATCTTATTTTCCCTAGGTTTATTCCAGCGTCAAACGTGACAATACCTTGTACCTCTCGTTGTCGTTGTTTATTTTTATCTTTGGTCACTCCGCGCCTGCATTTGCTTTTACGCACGTATAGTCCGTCCATCGCCAGAGCTGGTCCTCATTATTGCAATAAGATGCACCACTCTATTTGGACCAAGGTGTATTGCAGTAACGCTCCCCCCTGTCGAATTTGGACGGAAGGGACACGACGGAAAGGCAGCAGTTAGGACGAGATAGGAAGCGACGCGACGGAAAGGCAGCAGTTAGGACGAGATTGGAAGCGACGCGACGGAAAGGCAGCAGTTAGGACGAGTTAGGAAGCGACGCGACGGAAAGGCGAGGGTTAGGACGAGATAGGAAGCGACGCGACGGAAAGGCGAGGGTTAGGACTGGATAAGCAGCGACGCGGCTGAAAGGCGAGGGTTAGGACTCGATAAGCAGCGACGCGACATTACAGGAAGCGACGCGACATGGCTGGAAGCGAGGAGAAAGGGATGGGCGTGATGCGAGGGTAAGGGGAGAGTCGCGAAGGGGTGTGGCGGGACGGTTGGGAGGGAAGGGACTGGAAGGGAGGTAAGGGGTGAGAAGGACCTCCGGGATGCGACGAGAAGGGGAGGGGTGGGACGGTGCGTGAAGGGGAGCCGGAAAGGGTAGGAAGGGATACTGTGGGATGCAACGAGGAGTGGAAAGGAGAGAAGTGGAGAGGAGAGGAGAGGACAGGAGGGGACGCTACTGGACACGACGGGACGGGACGGGAACGGGGGGGACCTGATGGGACGTGAGGGGACGCGACGGGAAAGGACGGGACGGGACGGGACGGGACGGGACGGGACGGGAAGGAAACGAGACGAGAGGGGACGGGACGGGACGGGACGGGACATGACGGAACGGGATGGGACGGGACATGACGGGACGGGATGGGACGGGATGGGACGGGATGTATGACGGGACGGAGCGGGAGGGAACGCGACGGAGCGGGACGGGACTGGCGGGAGGAAACGTAGGAGACGCGCCGATCCCCATACCCCTTTCCCTTCCCACATCCCCTTTCCCTAACCCCATCCGCCTTCCCCTCCCCCATCCCCCTTCTCTTTCCCCATCCCCCTTCTCTTTCCCCATCCCCCTTCTCTTTCCCCATCCCCCTTCTCTTTCCCCATCCCCCTTCTCTTTCCCCATCCCCCTTCCCTTCCCGCATCCCCTTTCCCTTTCCCCATCCGCCTACCCTTTCCCCATCCCCTTCTCTTTCCCTATCCCCCTTCCCTTCCCCCATCCCCCTTCCCTTCCCCCATCCCCCTTCTCTTACCACATCCCCTTTACCTTCCCCACACCCTCCTTTCCCTTCCCCCATCCCCCATTCCCTTTACCCATCCCCCATCCCTTCCCTGCATCCTCCTTTCCCTTCCCCCATCCCCCTTCCCTTTCCCCATCCCCCTTCCCTTCCCTCATCCCCCTTTCCCTCCCCCTCTGCTATCACCTTCTTTTCTCTTTCTGCTACCACCTCCCTTCCCCCTCTGCTGTCACCTCTCATCCCGTGATACCACCTCCCTTCCCCCTCTGCTGTCACCTCTCATCCCGTGCTACCACCTCCCTTCCCCCTCTGCTGTCACCTCTCATCCCGTGCTACCACCTCCCTTCCCCCTCTGCTGTCACCTCTCATCCCGTGATACCACCTCCCTTCCCCCTCTGCTGTCACCTCTCATCCCGTGCTACCACCTCCCTTCCCCCTCTGCTGTCACCTCTCATCCCGTGATACCACCTCCCTTCCCCCTCTGCTGTCACCTCTCATCCCGTGCTACCACCTCCCTTCCCCCTCTGCTGTCACCTCTCATCCCGTGCTACCACCTCCCTTCCCCCTCTGCTGTCACCTCTCATCCCGTGCTACCACCTCCCTTCCCCCTCTGCTGTCACCTCTCATCCCGTGCTACCAGCTCCTCCCATGAAGCCAACACTTCGCCAACCCTTTCACCTTTTTCCCCTGCTTTCACACACTATTCCGCCAAGCAATCACTTCCCCAATTCCTCCCTGCCTCCTTTCTTTCCCCATGCCATGCCTCCCCTCGCTTTCCTCCCATGCCTCAGCTCTGTTTTCCCACTTGTCTCCCCTCTGCTTCCCCCCTTTCTCCCCCCTGTTGATGTGCTTGTTCCAGCATGGCGCCACAAAGAACCAGTTCATCCTTAGTTTTGTGACTAATGCGTAGATTCAAAACTCAGTTGTTGGCAAAGTAGGCTTGCCAAACCCGCCTAGTCTCTTGTCTTTCATAGCATATTACACTTGATGCTCAGGTAGGTTCAATGCATCCATTTAGTTTGTAGCAATTGAGCACAGCACTGACCTAAAGAACTTATTGAATGTATACACTTGTGCAATATCTTGAAGATACGGGGTACATCTCTCCTCTAGCGCCAATCTCGCCTTCGTGCATCTGGCCGTGCATCTGCTGCTTGCCTGTCCCTTCCGTTCCGCCAGGCTCGCCTGGGACTAGCTTAGTCCTGCTTGTAACTGGAACAAAGGGAGAGGTGACGGGAGGAAGGAAGGCTCCAGGGATGAGAAAAAGGGCAGTTGAGATGTCAAGGAAGAGAAAGGTGGTAAAAAGGGGGAACGGGGAGAGCAAAAGAGGGTAGGGGTGATGCAAGGAGGGAGGCTGGCACGCAAGATGGGAAGGAAGGGAGGGCAAATGAGAAGAATGGGAGGGGATGAGAAGGGAAGGGACAGGAGATGGGAAGGCATAGTAGGGGAAATGAAAAAAAAGGAGGGCAGATGGAGAAGGAAAGGGCTCTACACACTCATGGCCCTAAACACAGCACTCAACCTCCCCACCTCCTACTCCCACTCCCCCTCCCCTCTCTCACCATCGCCCACACCCACACCCTCCTCACCTTCCCCTGCTTACATACACCTCAGTTCGGGCAGAAAAGCTAGCAGGGTGAGCGCGTGGCGAGGGCTGGCTGGCAAGCAAGCCTTGCTGCAGACATTAGGAAAGTTGGTAGGGGAGGGGGTGAGGGTGAGTTAACAGGGAGAGGAAGGGGAGAGAGGGAAAGGGAGAGGGTGAAGGGGAGAGAGGAAAGGGAGAGAGGGAAGGGGAGAGAGGGAAGGGGAGAGGGTGAAGGGGAGAGAGGAAGGGGAGAGAGGGAAGGGGAGAGAGGGAAGGGGAGAGGGTGAATGGGAGAGAGGAAAGGGAGAGAGGGAAGGGAGAGAGGGAAGGATGTGTGTTGTGTCTCGAGGCGCAGATGGCAGTTGGGGGAAAGGGAGGTGTGAGCACCGGGATGTGAAGGCTGAGGGACGTGTGGCAAAATGACTTGTGCATTTTTATGCACATGCACTGAATGATAAGAATACAAACAGGTGCACACCCGCACGCACGCACGCACGCATGCACGCTTGCTCTCACGCACGTGCACGCAAGCATGCACGCACGCACGCACGCGCGCGCACGCACGCATGCACGCACGCACGCGTACGCGCACGCAAACGTGCACGCACACGCGCACACACGCACGCCGCACGCGCACGCGCAAGCGCACGCACGCACGCACGCGCACGCTCGCGCACGCACGCACGCACGTTCGCACGCACACAAGCTTTCACACACACCCCACACACATGCCACTCGCACACAGACCTTTCACGCAATCGCGCTTGTCGTAGATGGACGACCCGAGCGCATTCTGAAATGCGACATCACCTCTCCGGGTTCCACAGCTGTAAATAGAAGAGTAAGAACGCATTTCGGAATGTTACGGACTGGCTACCTCGTAACAAGCGATGGCGTTGCGACCGTTCCCGACATTGGACGATTCCTTAGTCGCCAATTAGTGCGTTATCCGCAACCAGAATTTGTTCGCAAGTCCCCTGTTATCTGGTCCGAAATGGTCTCTAATATCACTGTTTTAGCGACTAAGGCCAGCATCTTGATGTGGAGGTACATACGTAGGAACCATCCTAAGCGGAGGTTGTAAGACTGACAAGTGAGAGTTTTGCTCTGCTTTTCCTGGTGAACGTGGGCGAATTGCGTCTTGTCGTTTCAGTTGGTCGCAGGGAACTGCCGGATCTGTTTTTTAGGTGTGGGAGCTTTCCATGCCTGAGGGGCTCGTTTGGTTTTTGCGTAGACGAACTGAGGTGTCGTCTGTGTTTTCCAAACTGCTCGTCACAAATCTCGCCTATCGTTACCCAATCACAGGCGCTTTAGCCCAACCAAGTGTAATACACTAGGAAATATGAGACCCGGGTTTTAAGCTAGCCAATTCCTATGAACGACGCGGAATTCAAACTCGGCGGCGGGGCACACGGCAGAGTAGCTTCCGCCTCTAGTACCAGCAGCGCGATCGAGTACACGTGGGTTGCGAAAACTGCGGGACTCGCAACAAGATATTATTTGGACGAACGCGTACCATCACTTGTTCGAGGGGGTCATGCTTTTTGTTGCGGATTCGGTTCAATACGGTCGATGAAGTTTGGGCACGGTTCTTCGATATACCGCTTTTGACCATTGCGTACCAGGATGAACCGTTCAAAACAGACTCGTAACAAAAAGGTATTAGCCATCCTGAACGCGTTACGGGTTGGCGATGTTCTTAAAGCCCGCGGCCTCATGATCTGAAATTGATATACGTGTATTTTTCATCCATATTTCGATACATTTGGGAAGTCTATTGATATTTTTCAAATACTATGAGAGTCCATTGTTGCGTATTGTTACTGTTAGAATAACCGAAATGTTGTTGAGGCAATTCCTAAGTGTGGCAATAGCGCAGTACCTCATATAAAGAATGCGCACTCCCCACTATCGCATTACACTCATCTAGAGTACGCGATATAGGGAGACAGGAAGTCAACTGTGCTGACTGTTGCCTGACCAAGACCAGAGGTTACGTGCTCCACCTGGTAACCGTTAAGCATCGGAATAGTTGCTGATTACACCAAGATCGACTTCGAGCACTATGTCGCGCTGTTAAACGTGTCAAATATTATACGGTACACATGCTGTAGGCTGCATTGGGGTACTCGTTAGTGAGTACAACACTTTTAGGTCATGATATGTACCCCTTCCATTCCTTAGTCAATCAATCCTGCCAGTTACTTTCTAACAAAACAGCCCTTTGCATATTTGTGTGGTTATTGTTAATATTTCCTATAGGTGGTGCACCTTTGTCTAGCCATTTCTTTCGCTATATCTTGTACTTCCAAATTTTTATTGAACCTCTTTGGCCAAACATTCCTCTCGATATCATCGCTATGCTCCCCTAAGCACTTAAACTTAATCTCACATAAGTTCACTATCTTGACATGTTATCAGAGCAGGCCCCCAGAATTCTGGAAAATTACGTTGATTTGCCCTTTGTTGGGCTGAAAAAACAGCCTTAGGACCTTTAAAAGTTTAGTCCTTGTAATATTATGCAATGAAAGACTGAAATTCCTCTACTGGTTGAATACAACATGTGTTCAATGACAATGACAATGACAATGACTCTGCTCTCCGCCTCACGGCAGCCATGGATCTTGCCGCGACCCTGGAACTCACCAATGTACCACCTATTGTTTGACGTTCCCGTTATTAACATAACCATTGAAATTGTCCTCGCACAAGGTACCAATGGATATTTTTTTGATATTCAAACAAAGAACATTTGTCCCTGCACCCTGAGGTCGGATCGCAGCCATGGTATTGGGATTATCAGACGAGGTGCTCACAACAATGAGTTTCCAAGGTTCTACTAAGGGGATGATGAGCTACCAACGCATAAGAGAGCAGTCAGCAAGCACACTGCAAGCGACAGCATTTTCGTGCTCATTTTTTTCAAGTCTCCAGTATTATACTGGCTCTGGTATCATCATCATCTCACGATGCCTCCGCGCGTCAACAAGGCTGCTGCTGTTGCAGTTGTTTCTGCTGCTGCTGCTACTGCAGCTCCGAACGCACCACCGGCGACAACTCCTCCTAAGTCGAAGTCTCAGTCAAGACTTCCGCTCATGTCGGCAACGGCCATTAAGGCATCTTAGGGTCCTTTCCAGCCCGAGGACTCAGAGTCGTGTTCTAAAGATAGAGTGCACAGTCGGATTTCTGCAAAGCGGCTTTAAACGTTCATAACGTTCTGGTCGTCAAATGACCTGATTCAACTTGGATCTGGACGTCTTAAAGTCGCCTACAATAGGCAATTTAGATCGCACGATTTCATTAAGAATTGACGACACAGCATCGGTTTGAACGAACGGCACTATAATGTCAAAGCATATGCATGTTCTATATGTGTAGGCTGTAGTGGGGTAGCCAATATGGGGTACAGCCCCTTTTAGGGTTTCATACTTGTACCCAACTCTTTCATAGTTCATCCATTCCTGCTGCTAGATTCTGACATGGTTTCAGAGCACTAGGTCCGTAGGACCGTTTTTTTTTTCGGGCCCACCTACCGTTGCGGTTACCGCGTTACCCCACGTGTTGGCCTGCCTGCCTGCCTTGCCTTGTGACGTGCTGCGCTGCGCGCGCCGTCCTGCAGCCCTCGTGCGGCCTACTGCTTCCCTAGGCCAGAGCGCCGCCCCTGCAGGCCCGTAAGGCCCACGCGCCGCACCTGCAGACACGTCAGGCCAGGGCGCCGCCCCGCCAGGTCGCTGCCCCGCGCGTCGCGCCCACAGCCCGCGCGTCGCGCTGCAGCCCCGCGCGTCGCGCCCACAGCCCGCGCGTCGCGCTGCAGCCCCGCGCGTCGCGTCCGCTGCCCGTGCGTCGCGCTGCAGCCCCGCGCGTCGCGTTCGCTGCCCGCGAGTGACGCTGCAGCCCCGCGCGCCGCGGCTGCCGTCCTCGCGCAGCCCGCGGCGGCTTCGCGCGCCGCGCCCGCGGCTGGCGTAGCACGCTGCAGCCTCGCGCGCCGCGGCTGCCCCTGGACGCCGCCGTCACTCCTGCAGCAGCTGCCGCGGAGCGCCCTGCCACAGTAGCGGCCCCGCCCTACAGCAGCTGCCGCGGAGCCTCCTGCCGCCGTCGCGGCCCTGCCCTGCAGCAGCTGCCGCGGAGCCTTCTGCTGCCGTCACGTCCCCTCCCTGCAGCGGCTGTCGCGGACCTGCCCTACCTGCGGCGCGGTCCTGCTCTGCCGCAGCTGTCGCGGCCCCGCCGTCGCCGCCGTCGTGCACCTGCCCTTCTCGCCACTGGTGAGCACCTACCTGCCTGCCTGCCTGCCTGCCTGCCTGCCACGCCTGCTTGCCTGCCTGTCTGCCGCGCCTGCCCTGCCCGCGCTACTACTACTGCTAGACTGCTGCTGCTGCTACTGCTGCTGCTGCTGCTACTACTGCTACTGGCGGTGGCCAGATGCAGCTCCAGCGACGTTCACGCGAGTCTCTCACGCCCCAGCACCTTAGTGAGTGGTACACTAGTTGGGGTTGTGGCGGTCGCCGTCGTAGCTGTCGCCCTGGAGCTGGTCAGTTGGGAGCGTCTGGCAGTGGCCAGCTGCAGCTGCAGCGGCGTCCATGCAAGACATTTACGTCCCAGCAGCTTCACGAGTGGTACGCTCAGAGTAGAGGGTCTTTGAGTACCGTTCGCTGCCCGTACGTCATTCGCACAGGTGATCGGACCGGTCAGGCTTGCGGGACGCTTGGTCACACACAGTCCCGCTGCTTCGCCCGTCTGAGCGACGCATGGCGTACCGAGTTTGGCGACGAGGCTGAGCTCCCCTCCTGGCTGGAGCTGCTTGGACAGAGGGTAGATATCTTTGCTCTTGACTATGATGCTATTCTCACTGCCATGTATGCATTGCCTACTAGTGCTGACCGTGCCTGTTCCCTGTGCGTACCGCCTGACCCAGGTATAGAGCCTGCTGCTCTAGGTGCTGGTGAGGCTGCTGCTCTAGGTGCTAGTGCGTCTCCTGCTCTAGGTACTGGTGAGGCTGCTGCTCCAGGTGCTGGTGAGTCTGCTCTCTCTGGTACTACGCCTGCTGAGGCCTTGTACACCTTCACACTTGACTCAGGTGCTTCACGCTCCTTCTTTCGCGAAAGCACCACCCTCACGCCGCTCCGTCGGCCGGTTGCAGTCTCCCTGGCAGACCCCTCTGGGGGTCCAGTCCTTGCGCACTCCTCCACGGTCCTGCCGTGTCCGGCGGTCCCGTCTGGCTCCCTGTCAGGTCTTCACCTCCCCTCGTTCTCTACGAACTTGGTGAGTGGAGCTGACCTACAGGATGTGTGGGTTGACCAGTTCACCCCTGGAGGTCAGCGTGTGACCCACTGTACGTGCTCCCGGACTGGTCGGCACCTGGCCACGTTCACCCGAGCGCCTAGCTCGAGTCTGTACACACTGACTACTGTGTCCCCTCAGGTAGCTGCGTCTGC